AAGCTCGGGGACACATTTAAGCAGGTTTATTTATAACCTAAACAATAAAACCTACTGGGAAAACGGAACCGAGTTCCCAATCAATCCTTTCAACAAACGTCTGTTATAAAATAAAATTGCTTGCAACGTGCCACATCAGTCTCTCCTACGAAGTTCGCACCAAACAAGGGGCAATATGAATCGGAAGAATTACTAATAGCCATAAAAATAATGAATTCATTACTATGTATGCAGTTGGACCGTAAATAGAAAACCGTAATGCAAATATGTGCCACACAACTAGAACACCAAACTCACTTGTCCGCTAACGTGGAATTAACTTTATCTACATTCATGCCGTGGTCCACACGGTGGCTTGACGTTCAACACAACCAGTTCACCCCAGCAGCAATATCTTTCTGCTTTAGAGGCGAAGCTCCTAATAGCGGCAGCCGTTCATCCCCCGTAGCCGTTGTAGTATGTAATAAATATTACATTTTGACCTCCAAGGTGGTTCCGGTGAGAAATTTATTCTGTGCGTTGTTGAGCCATAAAAAATAATGCTCAATGTACACGGCATTGGCTGTTAATGGAAAATAAAAGACAGGAGCATTCGGCTTTTAGTTAACGCCCACGCCGCGATCCCCATCAGCAGCCATTGGCATGTACTTTGAGCATAATCTCACAAGAAAAGGTTCCTACGTTATACTCGCTGGGTGTGACCTCCTTAGTTTTAGAAAGGTTTAACGAGCATTGAGCCGCAGTGCCATGAATACAATGAACTAGTATATACCATGAATGAACTAGAAGTGGTTAAAGGTGGGAAGTAGATACGAAGCGTAAGCCGTAGAAAAGTACAAGCCAAATTATTCTGTCTCTCATTTTCCATTAGCAGTCATTGGCATGCAAATTGAGCACTATCTGACAGGAAAAGGTTGCTACGTTATACTCGCTGGGCGTAACCTCCTTGGTTTTGGAAAGGTTTAGCGAGCGTTGGGCCGCAGTGAACTAGTATATACCATGAACTCGAGGTGGCTAAAAGTGGGGCGTAGACTAGACGCACAAGCCGTAATAAAATGTGCGGGTGCCGCCTCTCGTTTAGCCCTCGGAATGTCCGCTGGATGGCGGTGCTTCTATATGGGGGCTTAGGCAGGGGTGCTCCCTGTCACCCTTATTATTCATGATGTACCTACAAGGATTAGAGGCAAAATTAGAGGGAAGTGGACTGGGCTTCAACCTCTCTTTAGTCAAACAAGGAAAACTTATTGATCAGGCACTACCAGCATTATTGTACGCAGATGATATAGTGCTAATGGCCAACAACAAGGAAGATTTGCAGAGATTGATGGACATATGCGGTAATGAGGGAGATAGGTTAGATTTTAGATTCAGTAAGGAAAAATCAGCAGTCATGATTTTCAATGACAACGAAAGTAGTGAGCATAGAATACAGGAGGTCGCGCTAGAGATAACAGATAAATACAAATATCTGGGCGTATGGATAAGCAATGGGACCGAGTATCTGAGGGAACACGAAATATACGTGACGACTAAAGGTAACAGGAATGCAGCAGTCATGAAAAATAGGGCACTGTGGAATTACAATAGGTATGATGTTGTGAGAGGAATATGGAAAGGGGTCATGGTTCCTGGGCTGACGTTCGGCAATGCGGTCTTGTGCATGAGATCAGAAGTTCAAGCAAGATTAGAAATTAAGCAACGTGGAATAGGTAGGCTTGCTTTAGGAGCTCACGGGAATACACCAAATCAGGGAGTACAAGGTGATATGGGATGGACATCATTTGAGGGCAGGGAAGCTAGCAGCAAGATAAAATTTGAGAAGCGATTGAGAGAAATGGGGGAAGAGCGTTGGGCTAGGAAGGTTTTCAGCTACTTGTACATGAAGAATGTCGATACAAAATGGAGGAAGCGAACCAGGAAGTTGACTGGTAAATACTTAGAAAACAGGAGGTGGCCAAACCAAAAATAACTATCGGTTAAGAAGAAAGTGAAGGAAACGGAGACTGACATGTGGAGAATGGGCATGATTGAGAAGTCCGCACTAGAGATCTATCGAACTTTTAAACAGGAAATTGCCAAGGAAAAGATCTATGATAATACTCGGGGTAGTTCTCTACTGTTTGAGGCCAGGACGGGAGTACGGCGAACCAAGACATATCGGGCCAAATACGAAGGGGTAGACACAGTATGCAGTGCGTGTGGAGAGGAAGAAGAAACTGCCGAACACTTGATAATGTTCTGTAAAGGGCTTCACCCTATAGTTCAGGATGATGGCGCAGAGTTTTTCAAAGCACTGGGATTTAGGGACAGCGAGGGCAAAATAGACTTTAAGCGGGTAGACTTAACTAGAAGGAGGTTATCTGATTGGTGGCTAAAGTCAAGGCACGAGTGAAAATTAAATCCTTCACTGCGAAGTACGAATCCTCAACTTCATTATTTAAAGGAAAAAAGATAAATGTAATGGTTAGTTCACTAAGTATTACGGCTAGGTGGTGTTAGCCGCCGCCCGATCTAAAGGGTACAGCCACATCCATCCATCCATCCATCCAATATATGATGAAAACATGCGAGATGGTGGTACTTGGAGTGTTGAATAGATGGACGAACAGACACACAGACAGATGCATGGATGGACGCATGAACGGACACCGGTGCGGACGCATGGACAAACGCAGGGATGGACGCACGAACAGACGCACGCACGGACGGGCGGATGGATGCATGGACGGTCACACAGACGGACGCATGGACGGACGGAAGCAAGAACGAATGGCCAGAAGAATGCTTCGGCCCACTCTCCATCATTCACTCCGTGAATATGCTGCCATCTTTTTTTTTCCTTTGAAGAAGTTTGAAGGACCTCCCCTCAGGCTGAACAGGATCGAGGTGGCATGGTCGCCTTAGTAAGACGAAATGCCTCGTATCCCCACATTGTGTAGTTTTTTGAGGCCAATATTTCTACAACCCAATTTACCCTGATCTGGTTAGCCGATCTGCGTGTAGTAACTATACCAGCTGTGAAGGCTAAAGTTTACGTATAGATGTTGTGGAGGATCCTTGTATGCTCTATCATGAGTTTCTGAACAATTGGAGGGTAGACACTAGATTGGTTTTGATAAATGTGGGTAATATCAATTAAGGAACTTTGTGCTTAACAAGTAGAAACCAGCTCCAAGGGGGTAGACATTCGTAAAATCAGAGTAGTTACGCTACTAGTCAGGGCCACCAATATAGCGACTTCTTCTGCTTTCACGGCGGAGGGCACCTGTACCGAGGCAGCATTTATGATCTCTCCCCCACGGCTCACTACACTCACACTGTAACATTGATCATTTCGTTTCACCCCTTGCACGGCCAAATGATATTGGTTGTTTTGGCACTTTTCACGAATGTCCTTTGCTCTGGCAGGCAGGGATCCGCCATGTCTGCCCAGTAACATGTTTTTTTTGGGAAACTTCTTCGCCGCTAGCTGGCACCTGATCACCTTTATTAGGAGGGTTCCTCGATGCACGCCCCCCTCGGAGGGTAGAGCCACTCTTGGAATGGGTGAGCGTGGCCTCCGCGATCGGCTGCCGGCGGCGCGCCGTTGCTCCGGCCGTCCCAATTGCCCGGAGTGAGCGTAAGTTGAAAATGGGGCATGGCCGCGTTTTTCGCCGCACAGCGGCGCGCCTAGCCTAAGGTCGCTTTCTCTGGCTTTCCCTGGCGCGGGCGGGCGCAGAGGACGAAAACTCAGCTTTCGCAGCCTGTGTGAGACGTTTAATAAAAAAATTACAACCGCTCATCAATGCAGTAAATAGATGTAGTTACGGGTGCCATTTAGCCGTTTAATTTTTGACGTAGACTAGGGCCACTGTGAAGCGTAAGTGAATTCCTTGCACATCAGTAGTTTTCATTTTTGTGGTAATGGTGGTAAAAACATTTTATTGAGCAGCCAAGGGGGCTGGAAAGGGACGTGGTCAGCCTCCTACGTCCAGGAGGCCGCGATCCTGCGCCGAATGCAGGGCTCCTAGCATCAGGGCGATTTGAAGCTCCGCCGCCGAGCTGGTCAGCGCAGACTCCCACGGCTCAAGGTCACGCATTTTTAAAAAAAAGATAAGCCGTCTTGTCTTATTTGTGGAAAGCTTGTATTTGTTATTTTAGTGCGTGAAAGAGCGCGTGATACAAAGAAAGAGCGCAGTGCCGCTTTTTTTGTGTACCAAAGATATCAATTTTTTTTGTTCGCATTCATTTAAGAGAAAAATTGTTAAGTGAAGGGTAATCTTTCACGGCGCGCAGGCGTTTTACAAAGCGTTGTCACAATCCAGTGTTGGGTAAGACAAACTTCCTGCAATGCTTACCGTTGAAGTTGCCTGGCTGGAACTGGGTCAATCTTTATTATGAGGTTTAACGCGTCGACGCTACATAGGCGATGAGGCACAGCGTAATAGAGGGCTCCGGATTAATTGTGACCACCTGGTTATGGGCGCCGGCAGGATTTTACCTTGAGGGGGAAAATCTATTGTTGCGCGAAGGAAAAGGGAGAGGGCATGGGGTAAAGTGTTAAAATGATTTGGTGGGGGGAGGGGGGGAGCAAGTGCCTTTTTTTTTGCACCCCCTCCCCTCGGCGCCCATACGCTTGGGGATTTTCAACGAGCGCCGCAATCTGGAACACACGGGCGGCTTTCGCCTCCAGCAGAAAAGCGGCCGCGAGTCGAACTCGCGTCCTTGAACTCAGCAGAAAAATTTTCCCGCGGTTGCCCTAAACATTGGAGGCCAATGCACCGAAGCTACATATCGGAAAGAGGACAAACAAACTCATTTCAGGATGCATGCTACTTTATTTACAGCAAGAAAAAAAGGACGGTTTGCAGCATGTTTTTCTTCATTGCGCAATTCTGTTCACGGAGCACATTGCAGAGTACTCACTTACATACAAGTTTATACATGAGACTTCATTTACAGAAACAACCCAAAAACAGAGGCACATAGTATGCACCATGTTTTTCATGCGTTGCACAAGTTTACATGCGCAGCACTTTCCGGTACAGTGGCTTACATGCAAGCTTTTTCCGGTAAGCTGCCCTGTCTGTCTCAGCCGCACCGACATTGGACAATAGTGGCTTAATAAACTTGTCGAAGACCACTGACAGTGTGCTCGCACCATGCTCATCTCTTGCCGGGCATACAAAAAGAGGGCACTGTTCAAGGTGAGGCAAAATGAGTTCAGCCAGTTGCTGACACACATTGCTCTTTTTTATGTGCGGCAGGGCAATGTCAACAGCTTTCTTAATGGTCACAAGTACCATGACAAATTCAGGCTTTAGGAAAGTTAGGCCACCCCTTGACTTCAGGCTAATTAGCCTCATTAGCACAGGACTGGATCCATCTGATTGATGGAGGGCAGGGCAGAAGGTACATGTTCGCCGCTCCTCGACTGCTTTTGCCACAAACCCGGCTATGTAAGCAATGCTAGCATTCACTATGGTTGACGGTGGCCGCTGCACTCAAAAAGAAAATAAGCAGATATGAAAAGAAACACCAGAATAAAAAGTATCCAGTGAGAGCATAAAAATTGTGTTTGGCAGTGATGTAAACAGAGCAAATTTTAGACAGCCCATAAAGACAGATCTTGTGTGTAATGCAAATTTTTATTTTATTTTATTTACAAGTACTGCTGTCCCATGCCTGGGACGTTGCAGGAGCGGGTACAGAAAAATCAACGAAAGCACAGAAACAAACAATAGTGAGCACAAATTTATGTGACTAACACATAAAATTTTTCCCAAACTCTACAGTGTTCAGTCTACGCAATGCACCATCAAGCTTGTTCCAAATTTCCAAATTTCCAGTGTCGCGTTGAGCAGAAATGGACTTGTTACGGTACCAAAAGGAACCCTCATCATGCGCCATTCCTCTACTTCAAGCTCAGCCATTGTCGCAGAGGGTATTTTCTTGAACCATAAGAATCTTAGTGCGTCTCGGTCTTCCACTTTTACGATAATCTGAAGAAAGGCTTTCTTTATGTCAGCTATCAGAGCAACACGCTTGAAGCGAAAGTGTCTGAGAAGAGTAACCAAGTCGGCTAGTAGATTTGATCCCTTGTCGAGATGCTCATTAAGGGATGAGGGAATCAGGATTGTGAGCGGATGGGTCAAAGACTACTCTTACCAGAGTTGTCGTGGACTCGGTTCGCACAACTGCATGATGTGGCTTGTAGTAAATCCGACCTGCTTGCTCCACACTTTGATGAGGTACTCTCTCGGCATGCCCCATCTTTATATAGTTCCTGATGGTGGCATCATATTCTACAGCAAACTCTGGATTGTTGTTCATCCTTTTCCTTAGATACTTCAGCCGCTTCATTGCTTTCATTCGGCTATCATCTAGTTGTCCACAACTTTCTTTCCCCGGAAGCGCGACTTGGTAGCAACAATTGAAGAAATTAACCTCCTGTTCAGATCTTTCAGTACCCTATTCTTTTCTTTGGTTGGAGTGTTCTCGGCTGGCATGAATTCGATGCTCTCCAAGTCCCAGAGCCTCCGTAGAACCTTCTCAGCAGAGTCAGCAGACGTACTTAATCGCAAGACGCATACGTGGAGAGCTGATTCCAAAGGGGTGTCAAAAGAAAGTGGCCCTTGCGGCATCCCTTCAAAGGCAGAACCCATCGCCACCAAGCTCTTCTGTCTATGGTACCACTCCGACTCTCCCGACATGAATTCTCAAGCTGATCAGCACCGATTAAAAGGACGATTCCTGGAACTGCAGCCATGTTAGGTATCACCAACGTGTCAGCAAGTAGATGGCCTTCGATTTAGAAGTCTCTGACAAAGCCATGGTCGACTGGTAATTGCACAACATCCTTACAGACGAATGGCACATCTATGGTGGTTAACAGGTACTCCTTGGTGTCATACTGACTGTGAAGCTTCAGTTCGACGACACGATGTTGTAACGAAAGCGAACTTGTCTGTCTAAATACATTTAGCTGTAGATTGACCGATCCAAGTTCTTTCAATCCAAGCATCTTGGATACATCCTCACGAATAATTGTACGCTGGCTTCTGCTGTCCACAATGCTAGCATATAGGCCTTTTGCGTTTCCTGTATGACCCATGCCCTACATTTTTGCGGTAAGACATAAGAGTCCACGTATGAAGGAGAGCTGGTATGCAGACTCTTTGCAGTTACGGAGCCTTCGTGTTCTTTCTTCCTCAGTTTCCACTTGGAATTGCACACTGAAAAAACGTGTCTACCTCCACATGTTCCCCACTTGAATTTTCTGTAGCAGTCCTTGGCTAGATGCCTTCTTACGGTGCATCGATTACATCGACAACATCGCTTCTCGGCAGCCAATTTCTTCAACTTTTCTTCTTGGGTAATACTGCCGTCACAAACTAGAGTAGCGTGCTTTGTAGACCCACAAAACAGACAGTCTTTAATCTTAACTTTCGACGAAGACTTCAAAAGCGATGCTAATAGTAGAGTAGCGTTCAAGTTCCTTTTCTTTTCGGGTGGACAGGTGTCTTCCTTTCCTTTAAGTTCATAGGCTTCACTTCTTTCGCGGCTTTCAACTTCCGTGCGAACATACATCAGGAGTTCTTGCAATTCTTTCTCAGCTGTGGCTGTCGATGATGAGTCATGCTGTTGTCGCGAGCCTGCATTTTCTGGTGTAGACGGTGGCGACCATAAGTTGGCTTCTTTCTGATAATAACCAATGAGGATGTCTGTTGGCAATACCTTACACAAAATATCTGTCACCATAGCTGCATAACTGGCAGGATTGACACTGAATCCTTTCAGACCTCTGATGTGGCACTGCAAATATTCCAGCAGCTTTTCAATAATTCAGACGTCTTCCGAAGAATGAACTGCTTGTAGAGCGCACAGTCGGCGTAGATAGTCGTGTACAATACGCTGGTTATCTCTGAAACGACCTTTGAAAATCTGGGTGGCATCGTCGTAGCATTCACCCGTCGCTTGCAGCCCAGAAATTGTGGCTGTGCGTCCCCTTTTAGAAGAGTCTTTAGATATTGAAACTTTTCTCATTTTGCCAGGTTTTGGTTTTTCTCGACAGTGGTCCTAAACTGCTCCCAAAACGAAGGCCAGTGGTAGAGCTGTCTGTCAAATGTCAGAAGCTGGAGTGTGGGAAGCTTGATTTTCTTGCACGCTGTGCGATCCTCGGGCGTCTGGGATGGCGTTGCAGGTAGAGACTGCAATTGGGATGGCGTTGCAATTGCAACTGCATGGCGTTGCAACGCCATCCCAATTGCAATTGGGATGGCGTTGCCGGTGGATGGAGTTGCAGGTAGAGGGTTTGACGCAATTGCCACTCTCAAGCCTTCAGCTGTCGCAGCGTTTCTAGCGCAGCGTCATGATATGTCAACACAGCTTCATACTCTGTGGTAAACTCGTTCTCTGGAATAAGCTCATCCAGCTCGATGTTGACTTTATTCAAATCTGCGTTGTTGCATTGTAGCCGTTCAATCAAAGATGAAATTTTTGCATTGTCAGCGCTTTCCATCTCGGCTTTGGCTTCTTTGATGAGACGCGTATTTATCTGTCGTCGTGCCGTTCACTTGTCTTTCAGTAATCTGACGCGATTCCTCTTGCTTCAAAAAATTGCCCGCAGCTTCCCTCGGGGGAACACTGAGGAGGATGCGGAGCATATAATTGGTTAACGGGGTGTTAAAGTGCGACTTACTTGGGTCGATGGCTAAATTGGTTAACGTGGTTGTGAAATGGGGTGTTAAATTGCGACTTACTTGGGTCGATGGCTAAATTGGTTAACGTGGTTGTAGGAGGGGGTGTTAAATGAGTGAACACGTACACACGTATGCGAAAGGGCGGCGCTGGTCGAAGGGACGTCGATCATTGTTTTGTGGATTCGTTAGAATTCATTTAACCGCGACCTTGGACGTCGACGCGCCGTACAAACCAACCGACGAGCGGCAACTGAGCGAGTGAGCGCCGACCTTGAGTATATATACAGCGCGACGGCGCATGCACTGTCAGCTGTCGAATGTTCGAGAAGGGGGAGAAGCGCAACGGCGCATGCGCGCGTGTCAGCTGCCGATGTTCTCGAAGCGCGACGACGCATGCGCGCGCGTCAGCTGCCGATGTTCTCGAAGCGTGACGGCGCATGCGCGCTACATTATACAGCTAGCGAATGTTCGTGAAGGGGAGAAGCGCACGCGGTGTGTAGAGGAGGAAGGGAGCACAGATGGTGGAGGAGTGAAGCGCGCGCGGTGTGTAGAGGAGGAAGGGATGCACAGATGGTGGAAGAAGGAGGAGGAAGCTTGCGGACGGCGCCGCACTACAAGCCTCGAGTATTAGATGCTCCGCATCTAAAAAGCGTGACCATGCTCACCTCAATCGACTGGTCTGTTTGCTCTCACGGCAAAAGGCACTGGCATATGTTCCTTCAGGACTTTTTTTCTGGCTTTCTTCTAAGGTTGCCGCTGTCCCCCCGACGAGCTGTCTTCCGTTCGAAAGTTCCCAATGAGCACTGCTAGCATGTACTGTCCCGGTGAGTACTCCAGATGGGTTTCGGCACCACTTTGTGAAATAAGTGGTCACGGCATTTGAAGAAACCAGACTATATTTACATTATTTATAGAAAGCAGTTAGAACATACCATGGCGGACGCTTTCTTATTTCTTTTCTTTCTTGAGAGTCACGCGTTCTTTTCGATGGCTTCTTCTTCTTCATTATCTTCTCAAGGAAAGACAAATATTCAATAAACGATACCAATGAACGCGTTAGAAAAATTGCTAATTTACAGTGTATGCCTGTAAAAACACGCAAAACTTGGTTTGACAAGAAATATATGCACGCGAGCCATAATTTATTGCCAAAAAAGTCACATGTAGATCACCAAACAGTATGATATGTCGTCAACAATTTTTTTGTCGATCTGCTGTTTGCAGTAAGGTAAAAGAGACGAAAACAAAATGCAATATACTGTGCGTTGGAGGGTGTGTTCTGTAAATAAGTTACCTAATGAATAATTTAAAAAAATATGGGAAATGATGCTAGGCATTCACATTTTAGGGGCGATGCTTCTAAATACGTGGGTTTGTCCATGCATGTTTGTGACTGGCTCAAAAACACCTCGTTGTATAACTCACCCAGCATGTGGCACTAGCGTGAGTGACACACAAATGAACGGACAGACAGACATATGCACGCGCGGACGGAAGCAAGAACAAATGGACGGACGGACATACATTTCATCCCACTCATCATCATAATCATAACGAGTGGGTTGTAGCGTTCGTCCGTTCGTGCTATGCTGTGCTCCATTGGTATGCTGGACGTACAGATCGACGGACGCACGTACGGATGAACGCACACACAGATGGACGGATGGATGCATGAACAGACGCATGAATGGAACCACGAATGGACGCTTCCCCTCAAATATTATCATTCATCCTGTGGATATGCTGTGATTTTTCTTTTTTCTCACGACAGCACCTACTTTGTATTTTTTTCAGCCAACTTGCAAATGACAAATTATTTTACACTTTTGTGGAAGGCGCACAACGTACAGACACATCGAAAGGTCAGGTGATTTAGGCGCGTGTGCTTCGCATGTTTAGGCTATATAAATTGTTACCAACTTGTCAAAAAAGACGCTAATTGAAGATGTTAACGCGGCTGGCATGGACGGTATTTCTCTGCTGCGAGCAACTACAGCTGCTCATGTCGCTTCAAAAATCAAAAGTACGGACCGGAAATTTGCGACCTTCACACTTTCAATGAGAACACTTTGTATTTCTCTCATGCTGTTTGAGTACCACACGTTTTTGACGCAACAAACTCTGTACGCAGCCGCGCAACACTCGTTGGCTGGCCATCTTGACTATGGGCAGCTTGCGGAAAGGCAACGTAATGGTGGATTCTGTAGCAGGCGACGCAGTTGTGTCCATTCTCCAGAGTGGTGGAGGGGAGCGCGCTTATTGAGGAACCCTATCCGTTAGCGAAATCCACTCTTTGAGTCCTATATGCGGTATCTATCTAGCCTGCTGTAGACACCTTTACCTTTCGCGGTACGAGACAGATCGCCTAGCTGCACCTTGTTTGCGCCTCAATTCAAAGGTTGCGACACTGAACACCATACAAAAGGAGAAAAAACGCATGCTGATTGAACGGCTATCGAAGATTGTGCACAAAACTCCAAGTGCATGATGCAAGTCACACCAGATGGCGAATGATGTAAAAAAAGTGTTTAAATTGCTGAATTGAAGAAATTCAGAAGAATCTTCGCTAGAATGAAAGGGACGCGTAACACTTGTTTGCACGTTTGATCAAGACCTCGCGTCTTTCTCAACCTTTATTCAGTATACCATTTTACTGTCTGG